GATATGCTGCCCTCAAGACTTTGAGGGCGAATCAGATAATTTATTGACTGTCTTTGAACCACCTGTTCAGTTTGAACACTGAGTTTTCACAGTCTAGACAGCAACAGAAAAGGCCAATTAGATACAAGATTGGCTTAACCGAACTCAAGTTTCGACCAGGTTACTAACCATGTCAAATATGCTCTATTTCAATTTACTATATAACAATTTCAAAGCTAACATTGTACTTTACTACTTTCTTTATTCAAAACTGATTGAGAAGACAAAGCAGTGGGGGATCCTCTATTTTTTCAGGAGTCAAAGCTTTTAATATTTTTACTTCATTTTTGTACTCCGCCAAGTTGTCTGTGTCGTTCGGCGAGGATCCCACGCCACGTAGACGTTTGAGCTAATCAATACAGTCCTTAAAGTATCCCAAATTTTTCCAAGTCCTATCTGCGTGGGTTGGCCTGATAAATGCAGGTTGGGTTATTCTTATCGAAAACACATGGCGACAGAGTTCAGACCTGCCCGGTTTGGAGAGCTTTATCTGCGGGAGTACACCAATATGGTGCAGAGAAATAGGGGCTGGAACGTAGGGTGCTGTGTCCGGGGCTCGTCCGGGCAGGCAGGTATGCGTTCTCACTGAGAACTGAAGTGCGCACAGACATTGCTCTCTCAGCGTTTCCTGCTGTCCAGGCAGCCCAAGCAAGCAGCGTCCATGTCCCGAATACAGTAACGGCTGCCAATTCTGAATTCCGTCCGGACAAAATCTGTCATCCTCAGGCAGATGGGATACATTACCGCGCAGACAGCGACTGCCGCCCGCAGTTTTACTTCATGCTGTTTACCGTTGGTGTTTGTGGTGACCCTGACTAGTTCCTACATCACGGCGTATTTTCACAAGTTAGTCTTAAAACACTATGGACCACAGCAGCAGTGGCAAAGAGGTAACCAATGTGACTCACTGTTGACCCAGGTGATGACTGTTGAAAGGAACAGCAGGTTTTTTTTTCTTTTTGCTTTTAATGGACGTAAAATAGAGCGAACAGCGTCGGACACGCTGCGCAACTGTTCAAAGAATCAGCGCAGTGGAGTCAGATAGGCCTCTTACGTCAGCTGCCTTTGGCTGCCTGAGAGTCTTTGAGGATGTTGTCTGCGGAATAAGTTCTAGAACTCTTTGTAACACAATGTACATCTCCAAAGTGTAGGATCAGCTTAGTAACTCAGTAAGCTTGGGATTTTAGTTATTTAATGCAGGTGCAGTAGTTTCTTACAAAAGTAGATTAGCACGGCACCCTGCATGGTAGCCAACACTCTTTCAGTGTTATTATTACTCTTTTATTATACTTTTTACTCTCTGTTTTCCTCGTCTCCACGGCTACCCAGTAGTCTGCACACAGTGGAAATGTAATCAAAACAAACCGTAATCACACTGTCTCATTTTTATATTGCATTTATGTATTTCACGTTGCTGTGCATAGGAGTCATGGCTCAGGTCAGTGGCGTTGTCCAAATGAACGGAAAGGAAAATCGTTTTCCGTGTATGTGGAGACTTGTCTCTGTGGTGTTGGCGTTTCCCCTCCCGTAGGCTGGGTCAGGTGTGGCTGTGAGCCTCTCGTCAGAAGGGGCCCCTAGGCCATAGCGGTGCTGACGAGACGCAGCGTCTCTCCTGCTCAAAGTGGCCAGCGTTTCAGGCGCCTTCCCCTGCGCACGGACACCAGCAGTCCTGCTTTGCAAAGTGGGACGTTCAGTCGGAGCTTAACCCGGAGCAGCCTCTCCGCTTCCCTGCTGAGATGTGCCTCACTCGGCCATAGAGGTCTCCTCGACAATGGGAGGGGGTCCTGGGCTGCTGGCCCCACTGATGCGGGCCCCCACCCCCCGCCAGCCAAAAAGTGCCTCCTACAGGTGGAAAAAAGTACAAATTTGGTTGCAGACAAAGTAATAAAACTATAAGAGCTCTATCTGATATACCCCCATCAAACTCCCAACCACTTATCCTAGTGAGTGTCACCCTAACCCTAACGCTAATCTTCTCCTGGGTAGCACAGAGCACAAGGGTAGGGGATACACTGGATGGAGTGCCAGTCCATATTCCCCCAGAATGTTCTTAAACTATGGGGGGGGGGGGCTGGAGCACCCAGAGGAAACCCCACAATGTCATGCAGAGAGCATGCAAACTCCACACAAGTAGAGCAAAGGACTTGAACCCTGGTCTGCTGAAGCGTGAGTTAACGTCGCTGAGCACTGCACCACTGCGCCGCCCCTCGTACGAGAAATGATATGCGAGACGTTAAGCACTGCACCACTGCGCCGCCCCTCGTACGAGAAATGATATGCGAGACGTTAAGCACTGCACCACTGCGCTGCCCCTCATACGTGAAATGATATGCGAGACGTTAAGCACTGCACCACTGCGCTGC